TTTCAACATACAGAAAATAATCAGAAAAAAAGTAATCATATAACGTAACGTTTTAACACATTTCGCTTGATTTTGGAAAAAATATGGAACGAATTTTTTTTTTTTAATTCAAAGAGGATAGTGGTAGGAAAAATTGCAAAATAACAAATTTTATTAACATTAAATATTATTAACATTAAATATTATTAACGCAGAAAAATTATTTAAAAAAATAATTTTTGATTAAGTAATATTGTTTTGTTTTTCGAGGTTGCAAATTTTAATTACTGTGTACATCGTTAAAAATAGCAAAATATATAAAAATAAACTAATGCTATTAGTAGCGAAATATTATTTGAAATGAAGATCCAGATTTGTTTTTTATAAATTGTTGAAAGTTTTTAATGGAACGTTTGTAGTCTTTTACTAAAATATGTAAAAACAGAAATAGCAATCAGAAAATTATTATCATAACACACTTTTACTATTAAATTTCATATCATATTGAACTTTTGAGAAAGCAGTCCAGGAAAAAATCAAATGCAAAATAAGTGGCATATTTTTTTTAGCATTAGGCTTATGTAGTCCTTCAATGCAAAGAGTTTAAGGCTGATTTGATGATCTTATCAGAAAATTGAAAATGTATTCTTTAATCTTTAAGTTATAAAGAATTATAGATTTTTCATGTTGGAATGACCTAAAATTACATATCGGCATGACATAAAATTTAATATCGTTACAAGAATTTTTGCCACTCCTGTATTTCTACTGCCCAAATACCAATCTTTCCCTATAATTATTTAGATCATTTTTTTATGTATATATATTTCTCTAAAGAAGTTACGGGAAAGGAAGAAAGAAATTCATTTTCCATTAATATTCATTCTTGATATGATTATGACGGATTTCATTTCTTACTATTTTGATTTTATTTGAAGTTCGACTTGAGCTTTAGATAAATTATGAACAAAAAAAAAATCACATTATATTTTTATGAGACATAAATCAAGAAACGGAACTGCGCTATTAAACACTCGTAAAAGCAATTGACAAGTGATTGATTTGTTCCATGAAATAACAGTTCAATGTAATGTAACAGGCATCTGGTTTAAAATTTATAGTAAGGAAGTTTAAATTTTAAATTTGATCTTTGAAAAACTTGATGAATCACAACATTTTATATTCCACACAGAGAAAAAAATTCTGGTCAAGTTACCGTACTGTATGGTAATGTAATTTTTGGTAAAAGAAAAAACATAATTCCAATTAATCAAACTTAAATATACGGTGTTTAAACCATTGATTTGGTAATTTTTCCGTTCATATGCTAACTGTTTAACTGTTATGATAAAATTATCAAATTTTACCACATTTACCAAATTTTATCGCGTATTATAAAATTATATTTCATTGTCGATCTCTTCGGTAAAAATGTCCGAGGGTTTTGATGTTCTCATAGACCCAGAAACATGGTAAAATGTACCAAACATTGGTAGTTTTGACAATGCTTTTTTTTTCTTAGTGTATACTCTTTAGGTTTTGTAAGGTTTATACTCTAATTTGGCCAACTCAATTTAAAAATTAATTTTCACTTAATCTCTCTATTAAGAATAATTTTCAATCAATTTATCTCCTCTTGAACATTTAGTTATTCTAGCTTATTAAGCATTGTATTCTCAATTAAAACCAACCAGAAATGTTAAAACCCCGCATTTTTTTTCTATTTTGTATTCTAATGGTATAAATCGGAGTATTCCAATTTTTTTCCAAGGCTTTACCGAAGATTAACAGACTGAAAAGGATCTAATTTGAAATTAAGGTTGGATAAATATACCCATTATTGGATAAATTATATAAAAAATAATTGTCTCTGAAATTAGAAAAAGTTATTGAAAGGTTATAGAGTTCCGTAGTTTATTCATAATTATATGAATCATCTATACAAATGATATTTATAATTTAAATAATAATACACGGAAATAATCTACGAGTCAAATTTAAATAATAATCTACGAGTTTAAAACAAAAAATGTCCAAAGTATGAAGTAAAAAAAGGAAATTCACAATTTACTTTTGAAGACCACTATATTTTTGGTGGCCTACAAGTTGGGAGACCCTAATATGAATTATTTCAAATTCTTATTTTACGTAGAATTCACAGAAGTGGGGTAGAAATTACTTTTCTTTCTTTAGAGTTGACTCTTAGAAATGTATTTAAAATAAACTCAATATCAAATCATGAATTAGTAAATCATTTTTAAGTATGAAATTTATCACTCTATGTGGTGTTTTAATTTAGTATTTAGTGATGCCGAGATATTAAAATTGTTGAGTACTCCAAAACCAAGCCCAAAAAGAGGTGTATATATCACATCCCATTTTTAACCTTGAATGAAGACACATCCAAGGTTTTTACACTATTTAAACAAATATCATTAAATAAAAAAAACTATTTTTTCATCACAAATGAAGAAATAAAGTTTCTTAATTTTATATACTGAGTAATAATTAATCAAATACAATTAATAAAATTTTTAGTTAAAATTATTGAATTGACTTCCTTGGATTTGCTTAAAATTTTTCCAAAAAAATTCAGATTGTCATATTAACCAATTTTGCAGGTGACTTCAGAATAAATACTTTTTCAATTAATATTAACTTCATTAATATTAACTTCATTTTTATACAAGCATAAAGCCCTACAATAAATTATCAATGTCTCAAATTTCCATCGGTTTGGAATTTTAAAAAATGTTACGTTATTATAATCCCATTGATTTCGAATGCTGTAAAACTTATTTATTATGCCAAATCGAAATGAAAAATTATTCTAACTATAATTTTCATAGAAAAATAAATAAATAAATAAAATAAAATGATGAGTAAATCTAACGAATTCGACGACATTTTGAATAACACAATATGCACGATTACTCAATATGTATTCATTAAACATTTCAAACCAATTTTTTCAATATATTTGAAGTTATTCATGCCAATAAAGAAAGTGTTATGAAGAAAGTATTTAAAAGTTGCAAACAGTTCTTTGAATATTGTCAAATAAAATTTCTTATTCAATTTGCAGGAAAAGTGCATGTGTATTATTAATATTCAAACCTCGAATACTTCATTGCTAATATTGAACTTTAGACGATAAGGTTAATTTTAATGAAATTTACATCATTTTAATATGTATTTTTAGTTATGTTTTTACTTTTACTTATGTTATGATATTATTATATTTGTGGAACTGATTTCACAAATGTCGATGTTTCGTTGTGCTGAGCAACTCCATGTTTTATTTTAGATTTAACTATTATAAAGTATTAAGTCAATTGAAAATGACCACTATCATTCACGGTTAGTTTGTCTGTATAATAAGAACAATTTGGGATACAAACTTAGAAAATAATTTTATGCAATCATCACGATACTCTATACAAGTTTACTTTACTTTTAAAGTTATAGATAGTAAATTTATTTTATTTTAGAAAAATGCAGTAAATAGAAATAAAAAGCATTGATTTAATTATTAATTGAGCATAAGTATTAAAATATAATGGTAATCATTTCTGAAGCCGTTAAGAATAAAAACATTTAAAAAAACACACAAAATTTTTCATAAAATATAGCAAATTTAAAAATTTTAATCAATTAAAAAAATTATACTCATTGTTTTATATTAAAATTTTTTTTTTATGATTAACATTTCTAACTGAAAAAACTAATATTATCCTAAATTGCTAACTTTTCTCTTGATTTAGTCGATACCCAGCTTGATTAATCATGAATGAAACTGAAAAAGAATCGATGGGTATATCCGATTATTATTGAAGTAAAGCCAATTCTAAAAAACATCCATAAGTTTTCAAAAAATTAATGTACATAGTAAATTATCACATTAAAATATTGATGATGTTGAGCGCAAATTATCTATGACAGCATTTTTTAAAGAGTGCTAATTTTTATTCGTATTATATTTTATGTTCAGCATAGAAAGTTCCAAATTTTTTTTTATAAAGCATACAGCGTGAGAAAATTATTTATTTTTTGAAGAAACGTAGAAGTAGAAGATGTTAGTTTTATAAAAGAAGTTTTGTTAACAATCAGTTTTGTTAGCATCACTCTAAAAAATTGCATTAAATAACTGATACTACTCAAATGGCTATTTGTACGAACTTTTTGAACATATGTGCATTTTGCAAATGCATTTTCAAATCTATTTATCAAAACAATTCTTTCAGCTATGTGGTGTATCAAATGAATATTTTGAATATCGAAGACGATATTTCCTATAAATAATTAATTAAGAAAAATTTTTTAAGGAAATAAAAAGTATTGATTCTTATAATTTTAATGAATTAAAAAAAATAATTCTTCATATACATTTTATAAAAAATGTGTAAAATATTTTTTTACTGTGCATACTTACAGTCTGAGAAAGAAAATATAAATACTATTTGTGTGAGAACATAAAACTTTATGAAATAAAGTTTTAAGTATTAAATGGCAACAATAGATTTAAGTTCTCCTTAAATAACTTATTACTTTCATTGAAAATGATAAGAGATTGTCGCAGTTTTGAATAAGAGAAAAAGGCAAATTTTGTGTTTTAAAAAATTTAATTAGAATATTTTAAATATTTTTTCTTTTCCTTTATGAAAAAAATAGTGGAAAAATCAAAGCCTTTAAAAAAAAAATTAAAAAATAATCAATAGTATTAGAATTTTAAAAAAGTAAGTGCAATAAGTCCAATTGTTTTGGAAATTTTAGAGCTAAACTATATATTTTTTTATATGTATATTAAAAGAATAAAAGATCATAAAAAATTATTATTAAAAACACCATATGCAGATAAATTAGAGTTATTTTGGTTATCGAACTTTTTCCATGGACAAAAAGAACATGAATTGTAAATTTAAAAATAAATAAAATTAAAGAACATATTGATAAATTTTAATTCAATATCATATTTTGTTTGAAAAATTTACTATCTTATGACAAAATAAGACTCGACTTACCCACACACTCATGAACATTATGGGCAGTTGCTCGACTCCATGGCCGATCAAAATGGAACGGTTTACACTTCTCACAGTCTTTTCCAGCTGTGTTATGCTTACAATCACAAATTAAAGAACCATTAGCATCAGTAATGCATTTTGATGCATGTCCGTTGCATTTACATCTACCACCAATGGCTAAATCGGACACACTATAAAAACTTAGTTCAGTGTCGTTTGGGGCTACAGTTGCCATTGACCATGGCTTCACCCTCACTAACACTATGCGGATGTCGGTGGCTGTCACCCAGTCTTGTAAAACTGGACTATTGTCAAAGTCATAAGATGATGGCCTACCCTCTAATGTGCTGAAAGCGACACGACCACCGGTGGCAGGTTCGATGCCAGTCCTGGCATCGGCGCACAAAGCCTCTTGTTCATTAGATCTAGTTAAAGGTACGCTAGTTGTTTTACCAAACACTTTACGGCACTGGGTTGAATAAAACTGAAAAGGCAGCCAAGTTTCCCCATAGTTCATACTTTTATATATAGCCATAGAATCTGGCTTTAACCCACAAAACTGCAAACTGATGTATGTAAGTTCATATTTTTTCCCTAGGCTAAGCGTCAAATTAACAACCTCCGCGGGATTTGGACCCGATGTCCAGCATGTTACATTACTTGGATTATTTAGATCCGTGAGATAAGATGAATAATGGGGATTTGATTCATTACACACCTGACAATTAAGGGAACCGGATTCAATGTCCATTCGGCAATATTTCATGGGTGGCTGACCGCAAGTGCTACTGGCCACTACTGACCGCCCAAAAGCGGCATTTACGAAATCGGGAATGCATCGTCGAGGATTACTCCCATCATCATAACAAGGATCCTCCTCCAATAGAGGAGTAAAAGCTTTGAGAAAGCCGTCACTGGGCCGGCACAAAACCGTGCCCACTAGGAGCAACAGAAGCAGCATGGCTTCGACGGGGGATGCGGATGCTGGGACTTCATACGGAGACGGTGTTTTGTTAATCCTCTATCAACTGGTATTGCCCTTCCTCTAAGCCTCTTTGAGAAACGCGCATCTGTTCTCAATGATCTTGGGAATCACCCCTGTCACACCTCTCTTGGCGAGTAATCGCTCCTAACATCTCATAATAAAATTTATATAATTGAGAAACAGGTTTTTTTTTTCTTGCTTTGTTTTAGATGAGTGACGCATTTAAGCGAGAACTAATCTAATCAAAATTTAGAAAAATTAAAAAGAATAAGTGAAAGTCGGGTTTATTCTAATTTAATGGGTGGATTGCCATTTCATTTTCATAGAAGAAATTTCAGTTTTATATTCATAGAAGAAGAAAAAAGATTTTAAGATCAAGAAAAGAGTTTGAAGAATATAAATCTTAAGTTTTAAAGAATAGAAAAGTTGTAATAAAATTTTATCATTCAGTTAAAAATTTTCAGCGTTACCTCCTAAAAAATATTATTTTATATTCTGTCATAAATGGTTTAATGGCCAACACACTTCTTTTTAAACGTGTAAATACATGAAGGACAAAGGAATGAGGATCTAAAATAAAAAACAATAATTTCAAAAGTGAAAGAAATATGAGTAAACTCAATTTTTATAAAATAGTAGTTTTGTCATTGGCTTTTCGAGCACCGTCAAGAAATTTGTACCTTAGTTTTTACAAATAACTAACTATATGTGATTCACAAATGAATAACGATTGAAGAGATAGAATAATAATTTAAGTAATAACAAAAAATATACATCAAAACCTTATATTTCATTTTATGTTTATTCGGAAATATGCTTAACCTATATGCTTAAAATGATCTCAGAAATATTTTCTCATGACATTTTCAAAATTTTCAAAAAGATTAACACATTAGTTTTGATACTTAATAAGATAGTAATAATCTAAAAGAAAGAATAAGAATTTCTGGTGGAAAAGAAACGAGAGAAAAAGAAATAATATTTCACATATTTTTTTTCTCTAATATTATCACTCTCTAAAAGTTTTTTCCTTAATTTTGGAACCTGGTCTTAATAGTAAGGTTATGATTTTTCAATTTTATAGAGACAATGAATCAATAACAAATTATTCTTTATAAGTAGGTAAGTTTCAGGTTATTCGTTGATAAAAATATTTAAAGTGATCTTTGAAATTCGAAAGATGAGTAATTAGTTTAAAGGTGTTTAAATTTTAACAACAAAATATAGTGTTTTAATCAAAATCTAGTAGTCTTAAACTTATTTTTAATTCTTTTGCATAATCTAAAGTACAAATCTGTCTAATTTTTCAATAAAGATTGAAAGGTTGTTTTGGAATAAGAAACTTAATACTTGTTTTTTAATTGGTTAGTTATCTTTCTTAATTGTTTAATTAAAGGATAGGCCTTATCGAGGAGAAGAAAAAAAAAGGGAAATTTAATTATTCTAGTTTTTTTTTTAAAAAAGAAAGTCCACAAAAATTGGTCCACAGCATACCCATAACACGTTTATTTTACAGTGATAAATTTATTAAAAAAATACTTCAAAAACAAATAAATATTCATAGCATGCTAATTTTTTTGATTATATTATTATTATATTTATAATATATTATTACATTTATATATTACATTATATATTTATTAGTGCAAAGTTTGTTAAAAAAACTACTGAAAATGTTTTATAACTTAAATTCAAGTTACAACCAAAACTGTAGTCAATGTGTGAAACCAATTATTAACACTGAAACCAAATTGTATAAAATTCTCAAGCATGTAAAAATTTGAACTGATAGAATAAAGTAAGTTGAAAAGAAATAATGCGAGTTATTTCAGTTCACATTCAAGAAAATTTCTGAGATTTTAAAGCTAATTTTGCTTTTATGAAACGCTGAACATACATTTCAGCCCTTATTATATGTTTTTATACAGGAAACAAACTAAACTAGAGTTAGTGAAGATTTGGCAAAATGATTTGTCAACATTTTGAGTCCTTCTGGGTCTATTATTATTATTTTTTCATTATTTCGGGCTCCATAGTATTACAGCTGGTCCAGGAAATCTTTCATCAGTCGTAGTATAACGAATGCATGTTTACAATCGTCTTAAAGTTGAGAAAATACGCTCCGCGCTTGATGTTGTAATCGGCTATGATTCCAGAACTAAAGGAATATTATTACACAATTGATGTTAAATAAGTAAGTAAACCTATTAAATTTTCATTAGAAGTAAAGTTTAATGAAGCAAATTTTCTGTAAAACTTTAGTTGAGAAATTACGCTTGAATCTAAATTATGAAATTTCGGAATTACAGTTGCGCTAGACTCATTAAGTAATTTTTTGCAGTTCAAAAGTAATTCTGATATCAGTTTAATTTTATTGCAATTATTTTCCAAAAATCTTACCTTTAAGTTTGAAATAACTAAGTCTATACCGGAATAATAAATACTTATATAATAAATAACGAGATAATAAACACTTTAAAATCTTCGGGAGAAGATAAGAAAAATGCAGTATTAGGATTAGGGATAAAATATTTTTTCTATAATATATAAAATCTATATACACACGGCTTTCTTCGACTTGTTTAGAAGGAGATAGTTTTTCGATAATGCTTTAGTCACTAACTTTACTTTCAGATTAGAGAACTGCAAGGATTTTAAATGCATTTAGTTTTTATTCATGCCTTCTGAATTTTTCTAAATTTTTTTTCCAATTTGATGGACCTTCGGTCACAAAATTATCTTCGTCGCGACTATATTTGTTCCTGGAAAAATTGCGACAACAGAAACAGAAAGCAGCAACTTTCGCAAATCTAAACACGAAAATTGATGGTACCAATTCTTTTGAAAGCATTTGAATCTTGGAAGAACTTTTTTTTTTAATTTTAAAACCTTTTTGAGGTTGATATGGTCCATTGCTAATGCTTGCATTCCCAGTTACGGGATCTTTTAAGTTTACATCAAAAAGAGAATAAACCTGATGCATGTATCGAGTCATCACTGATACACTGACTCTCCGAGTCATCACTGACTGTAACAGATGCTGTACAAGGAGCAATTTAAAATAAGATGATACTGCATTTTGCTTAAACATGGTAAATAAGTAAATATATTCAATAAATTTAAAGACAGCAAACTATCTATCCAAAACAATACAAAAAAATAAATAAGAAAATATTACAGTAATATGGAATATCTCATACGAGTCTTTCTATATTAAATCATAAGCTTAAAATAGATTTCTCTTATTAATTTTAAGACGTAGAAATCACTCTTTCACAAAGAGCTCTAAAAAGTCAAAATGCCAATTAAAAGAATATTTTCAGAAGTTAATAAGTATTAATTTTTAGAAAGATATGCATTAAAAAATTCCCAAAAATTCTCTATCGCCAGAATGCCGTCATTTTTGGAACATATCAAAATCTCTAAATTTAACCATTTGAATGACGTTTGATTAAGTTAAGGATATTCTTGCACCCAATTCCCTTTCAGAGTCGCTGTTTAAATATCAGGAGACAGCGAAAATGCGTGGCTTTTTCATGATGTAACTGCTAACAAAACTACGGCTCGAATGGCCAAAACATGTTATTGCTCGTAACTTTCATACACATATTTGTAGTATTTTACCAACAATATCAAATGTCCAACTTCTTTAAAATTTACATAAAAATTAAATAAGCGATGTATTTTGATTCCTGTGTTACTGGAATTAAATAAATTGCAGAAATTTTAGGTTTTCAAATTTTCTTTATTTTAAATATAATAATAAGTAAGTAAGAGATTTTATTACGCTATTCATGCAAAACTGTGCTTTATTTCTTAAATTTTCACGAGCTCGAAAAATAATGATTAGAGAAAATAGTAATTAATTATCTTTAATTTTATTGTTATAAAACGTATATTTTTAGTAATTGCTACTGAACCAGCTATTCAAGAACTATAAAGACGATTCAAAGTTTCCTTGAATTAGAAAAGAATATATTTTTCTGAAAAAATAAAATATAACCTTCTTTAAGACGATTCTTGATGTCTTCATCGTTGTAAAAACAGAAAGTTAGTCAAACAAAAACAGGATTTGAAGCGAAAATAGATTTGAAAATACAGTTATTGCATGTTATATGAAATTTTGAACTTTAGTAGTTTCGAAAAGAAGGAAAATTTATTTTGGATGCATTATTATGATTTTTATGGATAACAAAAGACATAAAACCTAATTTTAAAAGAAGATAGCTATTCTTATGTCCTTTTCATGGACACCAGGGAGTGAATATTAATATTCTGTGAGTGAATATAATTAAAAAATAAAATATTCTGAATCAAGAAGAAAGGCATTTTAAAACGAAAGTATTTATTTTAAAATAAATATAATTATTAACTTTTTTTTTTTGAACAATTATGATTTCTGATATTTATGTGCATAAGACAAATTCCACCAATCAACCATTATTCAAAAATTAATCAAATATATTTGATTTTATGAAATATATTCGATAAACACAAGGCACTTCATGTGCGCTTTTAAATTATGTAACTATAAACTTTTCTTTAGATAAAAATAAGCATTGCTAGAGAAATAAAATATTATAAGACTTTGTATAAATTCTTATTTAGATAATTAAATTCAATAATGTTTAGGTCTTATCATATATATTTGATTTTATTTCTTTTCCCTCCCGTCGGTGTCGTTGATTCGGTCCTTCTAAGGATTTCTTCAAAATTTGAAGGGAGTTCGGTATTTTACGATATCACTGAATATTTACATGCCTGGCAGGGCATATAAGGGTAAGAAATGCACGTCACGGGTATATCGCGCAACTTAGTTTTCGAGCCGAGTTCAAAACAGTATTTCTCAAACACAATTTTAAACTTACGCTTTCATATTTAAGGTGTGAACCACATAAATAAATATAAACTTTATAAGACGAAAAAATAAACAACCAAAAGGGGAAAAATGTCGAATAAACAAAACCCTAATCACTAAAAAAATTTCGAATAGAAATTACGAGGAACACTAAGACATTCTTCACTTTATGCTTTATTTTAATTCAAGCATTTAGCAATATTAGTAACAGTTCAGATTGAATTA